AAATATATATATATATATATATATATATATATATATATATATATATATATAGTGAACTCTCCCCGTCGGTTTCGACGTATGAGGATCTGACAGCTTATTGATTCAGTCATAAAATTTTGTGCGATAATCTTAAGTGGCATTTAAGACCCGCTAGTGATTTACAAAGGAGGTCACATATGGAGCAAGTGTGAGGATTGTGAGATGAGATCACTGTTAGATTGGCTGACCTTCTTGAAAATGATTCAGACAAGCAGATTGAAAATTGCTGAGTCCACTAAAACACGTTGATCTCCATTCTACCTGCTCCAAGGCGAAGCGCTCAAGGGTGTTATGTGGTATATTGACTGCTGATTATTTGCTCTTCAGCTTGTCTTTGTATCTTAGCCATGGGCGTCCTACATTGCTGTAGCCCTGATCTAACTGGCTGTACATTAGGATCTTGGGTATCCTGTCATCAGACATTCTCAAGACATGACCAGTCCACCGTAACTGAGACTCTATGATAAAAGTTTCGATTCCTCCAATATTACACCTGTTAAACACACACACACACACACACACACACACATATATATATATATATATATATATATATATATATATATATATAGGCATTATATCTTTTATTCAAGCATGTTGCGTTGAATAAGTTAGAAATAGTATTTTAATTTTAATCCTCTCAAATTCACGCATCAATTTCTCAGTGATGTTATTAATTTCATTAAAAAAGGAACTGTAGTTTTGGTCAGTTTCTTTTACTTTCCCAAGTACTTTCAATCTCATCCAAGATCAACTTCAGGAAGGGTGAATTGCTAAGACAAAAAATTAATGTAATCGATAGTTGTGATTTTTTTTAAATGCACACGAAACGCGCCCTGTTATAATTTTGAACATATATGAACGCGCTCCATTATAGCCAATTTGAAAATTAACAGCTGAGAATATGTATGTAAAGGAGGTAATATTGGTTTTCATTGTTGACTTAGGACGCTATAAGATGTTATAAACCTTTCCAAAAGCCGTACAGCCAAGTGCAATCCTTCTTTTGACCTTTTGAAATAGGGCAATATTTTTGTAAAAATTTTTCCGAGCTACACATAACTGTCTACTTGGGAAGATCTATTTTGGAAGCGTGGTATTAAAATCAATTTGAAAGTCGGGGTTTGGCATGATAAATAATGACACAAAATATTTTTTCCAAATTATTCCCGTTTTTTGAGGAAACCGGTTTAAAGATTAAATTTAGGTTCAAAATAAGAGTTAGAATTTCATTCCGGTGATCAGTGAAAGCCTTATATAATTTATAATTTACTGAAGATTTACAAATTGTATATGAACAAGAAGCAAGGAATATTATTACTAAATCATTGTGCCATCAAATAAGACTTTCATTTACTTCACTTCAAAGGGAAATTATACTGAACTATTGACAACATTTGAGAATATTGACGTCTTGCTTATGATGTAACTTATTATACAGTTCAATCGTTTTAACGCTAATTCAATTCAGATTTAAATCATTTTGTTTTATAATTTGTGTCCCAAAGTATTATAGTGTTATATACACTTATCTATTTTTTGTTTTGATCAATTATAACCTAAGAAATGGTGTAAGATCTTATTTATTGAGTAGCCATTTTTATAATCTTTTACAAATTAATACACATTTTACTTATCGAAAACAGTAAAAAATTGCATATTTTATTAAAGATAGAAATTATTAGGAGCATTTGAGATAATCCTATTTAAGTAATTCATCGAATCTAGAAGATACCATAACAGAATTCAGACAGCACTGAACGGCCGTTTCCTCCTATTTTGGGACTCATCGGCAGTACGCATCCGCTACTGAGAATCGAACACAGACCGTTAAGATACGACTCAAGCTTCATAGCCACTAGACCAATGGGTCTCCGTGGTGAACAGGTAACAAACTAACTCTATATTTTTCTTTACTGTGTTGTGTTCTCTCAGGGTCGGAGACGATCATGGCTTTTCTCCAAACACTATGCTTTTTAGCTCTAATGTTTGTCTCTTTACTGTCCTTTTCATTCCCTGTTTTACTATCCATTGTTAAGTAGGTTATTCGCTGTTTTCCTCTGTTCCTCTTGCCTTCAATATGTCCCTATGAGTGTCAAATTCTCCAAGCTCTCTTTCATCCTTAAATATCCTAGAAATTTCAACTGTTGCTTTCTGGTTCAAAGTATGAGTTTCCTTTTGTTTCTATTTTCATTAAATTTTCCTCGTTGGTCACATGTTTTGTCTATGGCATTTTCAGCATCAATCTATGATGCATTCACTGCCATAAAGGAGGATTGATATTACATAACACTTCAGGACACTTGTCTTTGTTTTTAGCAAAGATTTTTCAGTTTCCAGAATAGATACGAACACTCACACATACTCAAAAAATAATGCAAATATTTCCGAGGTCAACAATCAGCGAGAGTGTTTAGCCAATTAAGAATGCAATTCGAACGCATCGCAGCTATTTCCATCAACCAAGTCAATTCTACATTCCAATTTTTAAATCAACAGAACACATTGCATTACGTAAATGGAACAAGGAAGCACTACATCCTGTAAAATTAGTTCCATCTCTCACTTGCTTTTCTCGGTTATAAATGTTTTTAAAAAAGTACAATTATAAAAAAAACAAACTAGTTGGAGTTAATCTGGGACTTCTTCCATCGACGAAATTGTTAACATCTTTCTAAATATAATTTTCATTTTTATCAGTGCTCCACAAAGAAGAACTTTATTTTCGTCTTTGTTTTCTGTCAACTTACTTTTAAATTTCGACTGCATACTCCGAAGATTTCCATAATCTGAACATTCATCTGAACGCTAACAGCCACAATAACATAAAACATTTTCACTCTGAATAGCTGGGAGGATAATTACCTTATAAATTTAAAGCTCGTATATAAATTTATAGCAATCTAAAAAGATTATCAGCTTAATATAAAAATATATGTGCGTGCATATGTTTGCAGTTATGCGAAAATGGTATTGTATTTATTTTTCTATGATCGAACAAAAATGTAACCATCAGGTGGTTGCGAAATTAGGAACAATAAAAAAACTTTTGATCATTTACTTATTGATGCTATTAGAATTACTTCTTGTTATCAAGTTTAAAGAAACCTTAATTAGTCGATCATACATATTTTACAAAGATAAAGTTTTTCGTAAGGTATGGGCTGTATTTGTGAGTACAATTTTTTGTTTTTTTTTAAGAAATGGGTTACCCTTCAATGAGTCTATTGGAATATTTCCAATCAATCTGAGGGATCCAACAACAACTGGAATTGTTAATGACCTCATGCGCCATATTTTTCAGCGACTGCCATGTTAATAAGGAGGCACATTTTGTCTTTGCGGTCTCAAATCAGAATATCTGGACGATTAGCATTGATTGTTCTATTTGTGTATTGTAAAATCCCATAAAATTGTTACAGGTCCTATCACCGTAACCGGGTCTGGGTGGTGTTCATACCAATTTCTTGCAGTTTCCTCCCCATAGAAGTTGCAAATTTTCCAGTGCAGATATTGGCCCACTCTGTCATGCCGTGTTTTATATTCAGTGGGTGCCAATACCTTGCAGCCTGATACAAGATGATCTGAATATTTATCACAGAATCTGCATTTACAGTTTCTTTTTGTAAGTATCGCCGATTTTCCAGTGCAGATATTGGCTTACTCTTCTGTGCCGTGTTTTATAAATTAGTGGGTGCCAATACCGGGCAACCTGATACAATTTAATCAATTGTTTCTGGATATTTATAACAGAATCTACATTTTAGACTAACACAATCTGGGCTTGGCAATTTCTAGTTAGCAAGCCTATGCAGCAAGAATAAAAACTCCAGTTTCAGCTTTTAACCCTGTACTACGTAGCCATTGATGAGTATGAGGTCTATCTACATCAGCTTGTTTGGTACGGGCAGAGTATTGATCGTGAAGCGGTTTATCTTGCCATCGTTTCTGTATCTGGTCGGTTGCATTTTTCTTTCTTTTTTTAAGCATTTTGCAGCTTTAGTCGGTTTATAATGGTTTAATTCTATTTCTTCATCTACTTAAAACTCCATTTTGAAGTTGTTGGTTTCCTTTATTACGGAATAAAGTCGCTTACTACTTCCATGTTCTTTGACACAGATCATCATTCAGTCTTCTGTAGTTTCCAGGTATCTTTGAAGGCCAATTGTTGGAGTTTTGTAAGACAGTTCTAGTTGAAATAATCCTCTGCCTCCTTCGGATCTGAGTAAATACAGACGATCAACATCAGTCTTGGGATGATGCAAGCGGTGACAGGTAAGAAGATTTCTCGTTTTGGCGTCTATTCGCTTAATGTTAGCTAAGGTCCAGTTAAGGATGTTGAAACTGTCGTTTGAACGATTGGATCAGCCAATATTTTTATGGATGATATTCTGTTTATTATTATTATTATTATTATTATTATTATTATTATTATTAGTAGTAGTAGTATTAATGTTTTATTATTATTATTTACTTTTTGTTTAGTTATTATTTTCTTTCAATTATTTTTTTAATTTGTGTATATCTTCTTCGGTTTTAAAGTAACGTATTTGAAATGAACGTTATCAGATGTAGATTATGGATTTGTAACTGTCAATTCTTTTGAGTCGTGATGTAGTTGCAAGTAGCGTAGTAGGGATTATTTTTTGTCTGCATTTGGAAATTAGCTCAAATCGTTCGGGAAAAGTTTTCTATGGAGTTTTTCGGTGTGTTGTTTTGTGTGTTTGAGGTTTCATATATGTTTTGGAAGTGTTGTGATATTTGCATAAATTATGTTGTTGATTCATATTTTGTGTAATTTCTGTTTACCTGAATTTCCTATTTATTTCTTCTTTTATGCAGAGATATATTTCTGGGTTTCCTCTGGATTTTTCATTTTGTTGTCATATATTGTTTTGTGTGCATTCGGACTTTGTTCTGCATTTTTAAGTGGGGGTAGTATTTGTTTATATGTTGTACAGGTAATTTTAATATTTTGTTTTTTAAACAATATCTATCTATCTATCTATCTATCTATCTATCTATCTATCTATCTATCTATCTTAAAAAATAGTTATAAGTACTTTCCAAGGCCAAAACAAATTGCTGGACAAATAATGAGGACTTATCTCAAAATGTTAACACGAAAACAAATTTTACTACGCTCTTTTGATACATGACTGACGAAGCAGATTTTTTTTCCCGCAGTAAGCTGCCATCCCGGCCTGTCCTGCTATACCCATAGCTGGAAGTCGGGAGAAGAGGAGGATTTATATTGTTGAGGCCTTGTTGGAACCAGAAATAAAGACACAAAGAGAGGAATTGTGTTAAACAAATATATTAACAAAAACAGTAATACAAAACATATAGAAACGACCAAGAATATTCTGTCTGACTGTCAGAGCTGACTGCTGGAAACTACACTCACTAAAAGGCAGTTCCTGCTCTTATATATATCTGAAAGAGTCCATGCTTGCATGGGTAAATTACCATAATACATACCTTTTCCAGGGGTATTAGCACGTAAGTGAAGGTAATGGATTCGACTGGAATTCGAACTCGGCTCTCCGATTCCTTAATCCGAGCCGCTATCGATTACTCCTTATATTGCCTCCTCCTTATATACAAGGCATATAATGCGACATACTTTAGACAAAGACTATACTTTAAACGTAACAAATAGAATAATCTGATCTCCACTCCAAAAGAAAATGATAGATAAACAAGTTAACACATTAAGTAAATAAATAATAAACAAATTTGTGGTTATGCGTGCATTCTTAGTTTGTTACCTCTCCTCGGAAATTATTTAATTTAATTTATCCTGCATCAAACTGATTGCGTACATGACGAACACAAGTCTATATCAGCCATTTTCGCTTATATTAGTGAAACTTAATCTGACACAGGGCCATATTACTGGAGCAGTGCTAATCTCTGAGATTAGCACAGTAATATCTACACTACAGCAAGGCGTTTAATATATTATCTTTCTCTTGAAGACAATAATTATTTATTAAAAAGAAAAACAAAGTATGTAGAGATTTTCCCAGGCGCAGCTTAGACGTGGCACAAGGCCGAAAGTATGGAGCATCCAGTGAGGATCGAACTCACTTTTCAGTATTAACTGATCTTGCAAGACAAGCTTGCTAGCCATTACACCACGCCGAGGTGCCCCAAAAAACAATATATGTATGGAATGTTATCTTTATCACTTCGGAAAATGTATGGGCAAAGAGTTTGAATCTACATTGTGACTATGTCGATAAATTACATATTAATGCTCTTGAAAAAGGTTTGAATACAGTTTCACAGTCTCGTTAATTATCTTGTCACTGGTCGGCCACTCGTGTGAATTAAGAAAAGAGTGTGTGAGTGAAAACATGGGCCACCAACCTCCATTAATTACTGCCCTTACCTAGAAAATAACAGTAGAAGAGTCATTTGATTCATTTTCAAAGTTGACAGATGACATTAAATCATGACGCAGTGGATGTAAAAAGAATTCAAGATGAAGAAAACCACAAAATGTACTTTTATTTTACTAAAATCAATACATTCAGAGGGAAATTACAAATACGATCAAATTCCGACGTATTGTAAAACACTAAATTAGATTAAAAAATATTAAGCCTTTAATCCGGGAACTTATTAATCCGTGGCTAACAAACTCAAAAACTATTTTCTTATGTAGCAGGCTCAGTTCTCCCTCAATTCCTCATTACTGTAGCCATATGGAAGAAAAAGCTAATTTTATTATATACAGGGTGTGATGTGTAAAGTGCCGCCATTTTATATTTTTAATTTCGCGCATGCGTGTTGTTTGTTTTTGATTTTGTCGACTGCACAATATAGTAGCGTCATCTGTGAGAAAAAAGAACACCATAACGCAATTCAATCCACCAGAAATTTGGAAACTGCATGCTGTACTGCTTGGCACTCGTACCTGAAGCTCCAATACAAACATTTCAGGGTGTTTGGGTCTCACTTTAATGAGAGAGCACAGTATTCAGAAAGAGTTGGATGACTCTAATGGTGATTACGAAGGTGTTTGGAGTGATTACTAGTGATGGTGATTTTATGTCTCCATTCATCTTCCCACAGAACCTCAGACTCAACACGATAGTGCTACCCTGGCTCAAGAGGGTGGTTACTGGCAACAGTACTCGGCATCATGCCAAATAATCAGGAGAACCCAGACATGGCTCTCAGACAATTTCTGCGACCATATTAACCCTTACATCTGACTACCTAACTGACCAGACTTCAACCCACTTGATTATTATGTGTAGGGTGCAGTTGAGCAAGAGACCAAAAAAACTCTTTGTAAAGCCAAAGATGAACTGATGGCAAGGTTTATGACAGCATACATCAATTCAAACAAGGAGGCCATCCAGAAGAGTTGCAGGAGATACTGATATTGTCTGGAGGCCGTGGTTGAAGTCAAATTTACTCTTTACTACTTCAAGATATTTTTCTGTGATTTTGGTAAATATATCTTTTAAAATGAGATGTCAGTATTATTTTCATTTTTGCGTAATTTAGACGATAGATTATCGATCGCACGCTGCATATGCATCTATTTTTCTACAAGTACCTTCTTTACATAAAAATACAACTAAAAATATTGATTATAAACAGAACAGAAAATCATATTAATGGCTAACTTACTTGCATTCATCAACATTAATTTTCTGTAAGATAATAATATTGGTACTGTGTATTCATTTGGAAATATGGAATACGAAATCTCAATATAAAACCAAATCAAGCGATATTTGTTTTTCATACAATCTACGCTTCCAGGCAAAAATATACTCCATCAAAATGAGAAACGATATTTTTAAGATAAAGATTAATGAATCATTTTAACTCTGTATCTGTCTATATTTCAGAGATGAAGTATTATGTACATTATTTACATTTTTCGGACTATTGTCCTCATCTTTGTCGCTATATTTATTACAACGTTTCGGCCGTTGTACGCTCCTGCCTTCTTCAGGTGTTTGGAATGTCGAACTGAACCCTTTATTTCGCCCACTGTCCTCGAGGACACATGGCACAGTGGATAAAAGCATTGGTTAGATCCAGTGACAAGACCCAAAGAGTGTAAATTCAATACCCGGTTAAGGCAGTGGAAAACTTTCAGAGGGAAATTAACAGGAGATAACTGATAACTGACATCCATTAAACATGCCACGTGGAAATGGAACAGTCTACCCCAGTGAGTGAAATAAAGGGTTCAGTTCGACATGCCAACCACCTGAAGAAGGCCGGAGCGTACAACGGCCGAAAAGTTGTAATAAATATGGTGACAAAGATGAGGACAATAGTCCAAATAATGTAAATAATGTGCATTTTAACTCTGTTGTTGCTAGTGTAAATATCATATGTTGTTGTTATCAGTTTCATAGTTTAACAAAAAAACTATTAAGTTATAATAAAATTATCCGTAAATACATTTTCCATGATATGAGAATAATGTTGAAATCGAAAAATTAGAATGTAGGTAGCAATTTCTTACTAATTAAAAAAAAAATGGTTCTGTTGTAAATTCCTGTCTAGTATTCAAATTTTCGAATCTTTTATGACTATTATTTTTACATGTTTGTAAAATGCGTTAGTCGTTAGGGGTATCTTTAGATATTTATAAATTCAAAATGCGAGTTAAGTAATTCAGACAGAGAGAGAGAGAGAGAGATATGAAAGTAAAAGAAAGAAATATAAAGAGAAAGAAAGAAGGAAAGAGAAAAAGAAAGAAAGAAAAAGAAGGAAAAAGAAAAAAGGAAAAGGAAAAAAGAAAGAAAAACAAAAAGAAAGAAAAAAGAAAGAAAAGAAAGAAAAAAGAAAAGAAAGAAAAAGAAAGAAAAAAGAAAAGAAAGAAAAAGAAAGAAAAAAAGAAAAAAGAAAAGAAAGAAAGAAAAAAGAAAGAAAAAAGAAAAAGAAAGAAGGGAAAATAAAAAAGAAAGAATGAAAATAAAAAAGAAAGAAAAAGAAAGAAAAAAGAAAGAAAAGAAATAAAAAAAGAAAGGAAAAATAAGAAAAAGAAATAAAAAGAATTGCGGTTGTACTCATCACCCACTGTTTTATTTGTCTAGTATCATGACAGTAGCCGAGTTTAAATTACATTTGAATCCATTATATTCACTTACGTACTCTAATACCCCTGGGAAAGGTATGATTCCTCTTCTTCTCCTCCCCCAAGCTATGGGTAAATAGCAGGTCAGACTGGGTTCTATAGTTCTATTGGGTGGCAATTAGTCTACTGCAGAAAGAAATGGCAATCTACTGCGGGAAAAAATCTGTCTTATCGGTCATGTATCGAAAGATACATGATCGCCTAAGTGTGTATCACACATGGCACATAATTGACAGATCATGGAAGGCACGAATAAGAATATGGACGGAGTTAATAGTGGCGATAAAGTTGAATTCAGGGCGTATGTCATTATTGCCAAATTGAAACACATTTCTCAAACGGAATTTGATCTTAACTCGTGGATTCCGTCGTTGCAAATTGCTCAGAACTGAAAAAGAAAAACAAAAAAAAAACAACAAAAAACAAAAACAAAACAAAAAAACAAAGCATGTTTTTATCTTTATTCAAAGGAATGTTCAATACAATCGAACTGAGAAAGTTAATGATCGAATCTAGTAGAACATTTATAGATTATGCAGTGACTTTGATCCTAACGAGGTTTGCTTTTCTTGTGGCCGTGTACCAAACTGTGTTAACCTTAGTAATTATGAAAACCAAAAAGAACACCCCCCCAAATCTACCGTGTTTGTTTTTCTATTTAGCTAACTGCTTTTTATCGTTTCCTCATAAACTTATCCATCACTTCCTATCGATAGCCTCCGTTGTACAATAGTTGATTCCACGGTAAGTGAGAGCCATTTTGAAAGAGTCATTGCATCTCTTCTGTTCCTCATATTCCGTAGAGTATGAGAGAATTTGGAATACTTTCCTACATATTGCAAATGAATTTTACAGAATAGCTGCTACCAGTCTTAACTTAAGAACCTCGGTTTTATGGATGAAAAGTCATTTCAGTGCACGTTTGAAATAATGTA